ATGGATGGATGGATGATGGATGGATTGATGGATGGATGGATGGATGGATGATGGATGATGAATGGATGGATGGATGATGGATTAATGGATGGATGGATGGATGGATGGATGGATGGATGGATGGATGGATGGATGGATGTTTGGTGCTGCTGTGGAAGATGTTTGCTGCTGTAACAGTGGACGTTTCCCTCGGCGTGGGGAGCAATAAATGATTATCTTATCTCTTATCTAACAACAATACTGCCCTCTTCTGTTCAGATTTATTGTATTTATCAGCCTTTTGTGTATTTTTTCCTTTCCACATTAATAAGTTAAACATGAACATCCCGATAGATTCACATGATTCAGCTCGAACAGCTGCTCTGTTGTTTTCTAGAACTCGTGTCATATCTAGAGATCCCCTCATGGTGGCGCCCTCCTCTGCAACATCACCCCACGCCGTGTTTTTGGCACAAACACAGTCAACCCTGTACTTTACATTCACAACAGATTAAAGTCCTGTCGTGTGCCTTAATGCCCCGGTGTGGTGGTGGTAGAGGAGGAGGGGGGTGGAAATACTTCTGCATTCTTTCAAAGTTTGCAGCCTTGTGCCAAACCAGAGGTGGGTGTACATTCTGTAACGCTCCAGAGCTCTTCTCCTGATGCTCCTGCTGAGGACGGGCGGGTTGGGGCAGGAGCTGCTGGTCGGAGGTATTTGTGTTGGGAGCTGCTCCACCTCCGTCAGGTTTCTGCTCCCCGAGGCCAGACATTTCTGCTGCACGTCTCTCTTTCTTTGTTAAATCTTTCCTACAGAAGATTTCAACTTGATTTGTAGAAGTCTCTCTAAAGTGAGAGATCTGTACCCTCCTAAAATCATCACCTCTAAATGACTTTTTAGAGAAATGTTTGAATAAATGTCGAATGCTTTGGGAGGAGCTTTAAACGGGACGCTCAGATATTTTGTGTGTTTTTCTTTGCTGCCAGTTTCTCATCATAAAACAAAGTCTAGTCGTTCCACTGGTCTGATGGTTTCTGGTTCCACAGACAGATTGATTGTTTTTCCCCCTAAACATCACACTTATTGTACGTTTTGCATTTTATATTTCTTATTGTTTATTTTTGATCATTTGTCTGTATTTATGGACGTGATAGCTTCATCTCTGTGCTGTAACGACCACATTTCCCCTTGAGGATGAATAGATTAGACAAGATAAAACTTTATTGATCCCTCTGGTAGCGTACCTGAGGGAAATTATGTCTATAAAGTATTTATATTCTATTAAACATGCTATAATAAAGCATCCCAAAGTTTTACTACTGTTTTCAGATGTTTTGTTGTTTTTAATGTGAATAACATCTTTTAAAGACGTTCTATAAACGTTTTTTCTTAAACATTTGCCCGACATTGCATTGAGAACATCCTTCCTTTGTTTTTTCCGTAACGTTGTGGGAACGTTTTGTGGAGGAATCTTTTATGATGCGTTATCTTGATAACGTTCTACTTCTGTTTTATTGAAAAACATTTTGAGGCCTCGAGAATCGTTTGCAAATATTTTCAGAATGTTAGCTTGAGAACGTTCCTCTAACTTTATCTGTGCACCGACAACTTCCAATTAAAACGTTAACCTTTGACTTTAGAGGATAATTATTTGAATTTTTTTTTTAATTTGTTAAAAATCTTATTTGAACATTAGATAAAAGTGTTTTGTTTAAATTTAAAAATCTAGATTATAACATTTATTTTATTTAGATTTTATTTTTACACCACTAGCACTTATAGGTGGCGTTGTGGGAATGTTTTGCGGAGGAATCTTCTATGATGCATTATCTTGATAACGTTCTCCCTCCGTTTTATCGAAAAACATTTTGTTATCTGAGGCCTGGAGAACAATTTTCAGAATGTTAGTGAGAACGTTCTTCTAACTCAATCTGTGCACCGACAAGTTCCAATTAAATGTTAACTTTTGACTTTAGAGGAAAAATATTTGAAATAAAATGTGTTAAAACCCTTATTTGAACATTAGATAAAAGTGTTTTATTTAAACACCAGTAGCGCTTGTAACGTTGTGGGAACGTTCCCTGCTGGCTGGATCAGGGAAACATAGGGGAGGATTCGAGGGTTTTTCTGGAGGGGGGGTTGCACATTTGAGCAGAACTGTTTAAACTCTGGCGTCACTTCAAGGCCTTGACAAGGAGCCGCTTTCTTCTTTGCTCCACATTGTTGTTGTTTGCATCAGAAGCACATTTTAACTCGGACTCTGTGGGACGTCGACACGGAGTCAGAATCTACAAACCTCCACGACCGGCCTGCTGCTTTATTAACTTTTCTTGGCTTCTGTTTCCGATATGGTTCATTTTACTGCACACAAGCACATCGAACAAAACCAAACAACATAAAGCATCCCTTCATAGAAAAGCAACAGATTTTATTTTACACGACACATAAGGATAAACAAACATGTATTAAAATAGGTATTAGTGGCAAAAACAACAACAACAACAACAACAACAACAACAACAACAACAACAACCCTGACATGTCTGGAGCTGAGGTAAGATGAACCTTTTTATCTATTTTTAAGCTTTAAATTCGAATAATTCCAGATTTTTTTAAAAAACTGAAGTTTAAAGTGTAATGCTAATGGTTCTACTTAACTTCTTGGTTAATAGTTTTCAACTCCAACATTTCTATCTGTAATGCTACCACTGCTGTCATCTATACATCTACAGAGTTTTGCTGTTTTCCTCCGTGTTGAACATAATCATTAGTTTCCTAACAGATACCAACAGACACCAACTACAACACCTGCACATGTACACGCTGCAGAGACATCAGACGAGCGTAGAGGCGAGGTCGCCCCTCCGTGACTGGATCGACTGTCCTCCTACACGTAGTCTCGGCCTGACGGCGCCGCAGAGTGGGATGCTGGGTAACGAGGAGCTTTTCCTGATCCCTTTGTGGAGCAGTTGCAGCAGAGGAAGCCGCCTCCTATAACGACGAGGCAGGCAGCTCCCCATCCGACGTACAGGGCGCTCCCGAACTCATACCTGGGGAGGCACATGACACTGGTGTGGACATCGAAACTTCTCATCTCAGGCTGTTGTTGTACATTTAATTACCACCGAGTGAACTACAGGAACATGTAGGAGTTATATGCGAGCATTAATAGTGGTTTTACTGTCTGTGTGCAAAACTTAAAGCTATTGTTAGTTAGCTTAGCATCAGGGGAAAACAGTTAACATAGAAAAACTACAGGCCAAACAAAAACTAAAGGGTAAAAGTGAAAAGTTTTAGCTTTACACAGAGTTATTTATATGATTTTGTTCTTCACCAGACTCATGCTAGCTGTATGTCCTACTGCTAAGCTAACTGGCTGCCAACTGTCAAACTACTTTTTGTGCAATGCTAAATTATAAACTCAGTAATGTTGTGGATTAGCAGCCTTATGAAAGCCTGTGTTCTCTGCCAGGTTTTCATCCTCTGAGTCTCTCTGCACACGCTCACTGATGCCCGATAATCGTTGTGGTTTCAGGTGAAACGAGGAGCCTCACCTGGCGTTGGTCGGAGTGAACGGGTCGTAGAAGTCCTTCGCTATTCTGTGGCCGTACCAGGACGTTCCCACCAGAGCAAACAGACCTGGAAAGCACAAAAACACTTCTGTACATTTCACATTATGCGAGTTAAAACTTGCAAAGAAGGCGTGTCGTCTTGTTTATCGAGGCACAAACTCACTACAGGCCGCCTTGTGTTCAAATGTTGCCCCAAAACAGAGGTCAAACCGAAACAAACGTGTGCTTGATGCAACATCTTCAGAAGAAAAATATCCCTAAAAGCCAGATAATCCACGTGAATGAAGTCTCACCAGCGATAATGAAGATAACTCCTCCGGCCAGAGCCACCTTGTCCTTCTGCTCCGGCATCTCCGCCATGCAGGTGGTGCACTTCATGCCCACCACCGCCACCAGAATGGAGATGAAGCTCAGCAGGATGGAGGAGAGCATCAGGCCTCGCGCGCCCTGGACCATCCCTGCAAACAGAAACCAGAATCAGCTGACTGGAGTCATTCAGCATTTGGTTGCTGTTGTTGTTTCGTGTCTTCTGTATTTTTGTCTCATTTTCCAGATGTTCAGCATCATTAAGTAGCAGCTCCTGGCCTTTGCTCTAATGAGGCTTTTTATTGATTGCAGCAGCAGCAGAGGTGGAACAAGTTTTCCTTCAACAAGCGGTTCTCAAACTTTTTCAGCCACAACCCCCAAGATGACATAAGTTCGTGTTCCTGATGCTCCAATTTGAGTTTTTAATATCTCATGAGTAATAACTTTGAGTTCGTGCATTAATGCCTTAAAAATTAATGTTAATTCCACAGATTCATCTCTTTACATTAACACGTTCATTTTCTTTTCAATGAACATATTAATTGCATTTATTTCAAACAAATGAAAGGGGGAAAAAATACAAAAAAAACCCCAAAAGAAAATCATTTCGAAAAGAGCAAAAAATAAAAATAAAAATAATAATAATAACAATAATATTGCATAATCATCAGAATATTAACAAGTTCAGAAAAGGGGTGGGAAGAAGCATACACTTTAAATTTTAATACAGATTTATTTGATAAATGCAGACTTTATTTTTATTTATTTTTTTGTGCAATGATCTGGCGACCCCCCTAAAACTATCTTGGGATCCCCATGGGGGTCCCGACCCCCAGTTTGAGAACCACTGCCTTAGAAGAGAGGGGGAAAAAAAGCATCAATACAGCGATGTAAAAATACTGCATTCCAAGAAAAGTCGGTAGTTTGAATATTAATGTAAAACTCCTGGTTCAGTCCCTCTGACTGATAAATTATTATATATATGACATGAGTAGATTATTATCACTGAAGCATCAGTGTGGCAGCAGCCTGTTGGAGCTGCTGGAAGTTTCAATTACTTTATTTAGAGTTTTACGAACAGAGATAAATCTGAGGGACTCTGATGTGATTCATGTGAGAAGAAAGACGAAAAAAGTTCTGTAACACCAACCTGGATTTTTATAATTTACTTCTGATCTTTTTTTTTTTTAATGAGATATTGGCTCATTTGAAACTTCATTTAAATGAAACTGTGTCTGATTTGTGTGATGTTTTGAGGGGATAATCGCTGTTAACCACTCAGACATGTGAAATGTGAGCTGGACGACGCACCGCTTCACATTCTGTCAGTTTGTTGGACTTTAAAAGCTTGTGACGTGTAAAATTAAAAGTCACTGAAGCTGTTAAATAAATGCAGTTGGGTACAACGGTAGAAAATATTTTGCATAACACCTTAAAACTGCACTTGAGTAAATGCTTTCTTTCGCTGAATCTCGCTATCATTCATCTTGTTCACAAAACAAGCGGGAAAAAGTGTCATCCAGCTGTAACCTGATGAATCTGGAATCATCCGTCCTTCATGGGAAAGAAGCTGAAACACATTCAGACTCGACTGTGTGACTAAGAAGCTGTTTTTAGTTTCTCTTCCATCTGAAGGATTCTGTGATCAGACAGCTGCTGGTATTTGACCGACGCGTCTCGACATGTCGGAGGTCTGAAGGAACAAAAGGCCGCTCCGTCTTTTTCAGTCTGGGAGGCTTTGAATGACCACAGAGCTCGACGTTTTCCTGTCGTTCCTAAACTAAATTCACTAATTCTAATGCTGTTTGTACACTGGGCACCAGTCACACCCACACATCTGCAGAGGAAGCATTTGATACTGGACCAAATATAATGAACAGGTTTGTTATTGTCTGTCTGAGATGGTGTGAGATGATCAGAAAAGCATGAGCGTAGACCCGTACCTGGTAGCTGCAGGAGGGAGTCGTACACCTTACACTGAACCTGTCCGGTACTCTGGGACACGCAGCTCTTCCACAGGCCTTCGTACATCGCCTGAGCCGTGATGATGTTGTCTCCTGCGTAGGACGAAGCTTTCCACTCCACCATGACCGTGGAAGCGATGGTGCCGATGAAGCCAAGGAAGGCCAGAGTGAAGCCGAGCAGCTGGATTCCTGCGTTGGCCATTGTTCAGCTCCAGAAACTAATTAAATAAGGTTAAAACAAAATAAATAAAAAAATGATATATGACGTCCAACAACCTGTCTGATGTTGTTCCTGGTGGGTTTGTTGTCTGCTCCTGAACACATTTGTCTACCTGGACATCCTCAAGGAATCACCTGGAGGGAAAAGGGCGGATCCAGGAATGCCGTCACCTTTCAGTGGGGTCAGGAGGAGGGCGCCACCTTGTGGACGTGAAGGTCTCCTGCAAGGAATGAAACCAGAGTGTTCATTTGCAAAAACAGATAACTGCATCCTCACAAACCTGCAGAACTTCTCCATCGTCTACCTGAAACAACATCAATCAAACTTAAGTTAACTCTGGTGCTGTCATTTCTACTGAGTCACATCCACTCAAGCAAACAACAACAACAAGATAATAAACAAACTCTTCTGCTCCCAAATCTCCAGTTTGCTTTACAACCTCTGCAGAAAACACAGAGAGCAGGAGGTTTCTGTTCACACAAATTATATTTAAAGCAAAATGGAATTGAACTGTACATCTACTGTTTTTACTGTTAGTGGCAGCAGGAGTTGCATTAATAGTTCTGATACCTTTTGTTTGTGGAGATGCAAAAATCAGGCTAGTAACTACTACTTCAACTATGTCCCTGAGGTACCTACCAAAGGGATCAGTAAAGTTATATCTAATCTAATCTAATCTAATCTAATCTACATTTCCCATGAAGGCACTTTTCTTTTGAATCTACTTGTTTTGTTTTGGTGACCAGTGACTCAACGTTTCCTAAAACTGGCATAAAAATAAACACAATAGACATAAAACCTGTTGTTTTCTGATCTCTGCTCGCTGATTTGTTGAACAACAGGAACATCCGCTCATCTGAAGATACCTTTTTGGGGTTTTTTTTGTCATTGTGAGCAAATGAAACCGTGGCAGCGGCCGTCCGCTGACCAAAGGTTTCGTCTTGCCTAATTCAGGCTTGTTGTCTTTTGCACTTTGCATCTGTTGGCTTGTGGAGCCACTCACATGCTGTGGGATCCCTGTGACACACAGGTAGGTCCAGTTTATTGTGTTTAATCCAGATAAGTTGTCGTTTTACGTACATGTTACTCTCTTCTAGTCACTGTATGCATTTTAACTCTTCTATCTGCACTGACTTTGGCTTTTTTACACGAGCTTTCTTCATGTTTCGACAGTAAAACATGGACAGAGAATGGACTCTGACTCTGCTCCTGCAGCTGCTGCTCTGCCACACAGGCAGCACAGACCTGCAGACCTCTTGTCCGTACAGATGCCAGTGCTTCACTCCGGGCCAAGTGCTGTGTGCAGACGAACGGATGACATCTTTACCCAACAATATATCCCGGCAGGTCAAGGACTTGATCATAATGACATCGGCTGTGGCGTACCTGTTCCCTAACACGTTAGAGGAGAGCCCTCAGCTCAACAAGCTCATCTTCATAAATAATGCAATTCGAAGCATTAACGCTCAGGCGTTTGAGCATCTGACTGAGCTGCAGGAGCTGGACATCAGCGGGAACCCCTGGCTGGAGCATTTGTTTCTGGGGACCTTTTCAAAGCAGGAGAACTTGACTAAGCTGCAGCTGAACTTCAACAGATTCAAGACGGTGCTCCCCGGTATGTTTGACTCCTTGAAGCAGTTGGAGACTCTGCAAATGAAGAGCAACATCATATTAGGTCTGCCTCCATTTCTTTTCCTGAACCTTCGCAAGCTGCGTTTTCTGGATTTATCCCAAAATAAGCTCAGTGAAGCGAACAGGGAGACCCTTTCTGGTCTCGTGAGTCTGGAGATCCTGAAGCTGAACCACAACCTCATCAGCAATCTCACAGCCGACACGTTCCACGGTGTTCCTGAGCTGACAGAGCTTCACCTGGAGTGGAACAAGATATCTGAACTTGGTGACGGCGTCTTCTCTGCGTTAACCAAACTAAGAGTGCTGAACCTCCGAGGGAACCTTCTCACAACCTTCAGCGATCAAGCGTTTGGATTCAGTAACTCGACTTTAACGGAGCTCAACCTAAAAGGCAACAGACTGATTGAGCTGTCCTCTCTAAGCAGTCTGACTTCACTTACTGACCTCATCTTGTCCTCTAATCTGCTCTCCAGCCTTCCTGAAGACCTTTTCAGAAACCTTACCACCCTGGAGAACCTGGATCTGTCCGAAAACCAGCTCACGTTACTGCCCGAAACCGTCTTTAATGAACTGTTTAGCATCAAAGCGATCCACCTCAACAAGAACAACCTGAGCAGGTTGGACGCCAAACTGTTTGAGGACCAGATGCTCATTCAGCAGCTCTACCTGTCCGATAACCGGCTGGAAACTCTCCCGCTGGGCCTCTTAGACCCGTTTGTCATCCAGCACACCGTGAGGCTGCACGGAAACCCCTGGAGATGCGACTGCCACATGTGGTACCTGCACGACTGGGTGCTGAGGAACAGTCGAGACATAGAGATGCTGGACAGGATGCTGTGCGAGGGACCCAACTTTTTAAAAAAACAGACCGTCGTCTCCATCGACAGGGACCAGCTGGTTTGTCAGGTCTCTAAGGATGAGCTGCCTGATGTCAGCGCCTGCAGCCTCCAAGCCTCTAACGGCACCATGGTCATCAAGTGTAAAGTGGATAAATGTTCTCCGCTGACAGTCAAAGTGCAGTTTCAGGAGGATGACGGCGGCATCGAGGAGCACGTTTGGAAAAAGACGCCTGAACATTCTCAGTGCAGCAATGACACAACGATTGGAGGTCCCATTGAGTAGGGTTCCCACTTTTAAAGACTTTGTTCTGTGTGCAAATTCCTATCATGAGTTCTGACTGTCAGAGTCAATACTGTCAACAAACCTGATAACCAGGAAACACAAGGGGTGGATGAACCTTTACTTCACAGGCTCAAAGTTCAGATCACTACTGTTTAAGATCCTGTCACCGCTAAAAGGAGCAACATGCAGGATGTTAATCGTCTGTTGTGTTCTGACTCTTATGTCAGTAGATGTCTCTGCTTCTCTGGATGTGAACAGGCAGCACTCGACTCTTGTCAGACAGACGTAGAGTCATAATTCTGATAAATATTCAGGGCAACAAACTTCTTAATGCTCAAATATGTTCCAAATTTTGCCCTCAATATATTGATATAACAAGATTGCTGTGATATGACAGCTAATGTCCAACGCAGAGCAAAACTGGCATTACCAAATGTAATAATAATTAAATTATCAGTCAATGTTACGACTTGTCCTACTGTTATGGTGTACTGTGGTTCTCTGTGCAGTTTGTCCAACCCGTGTTGCCGTACCACTGATTAAAAAGTGAAAACTAGAATGTAATATGAGCAGGCATCGTCAATTCTGATGGTTTTTGCAAAGTAATATGAAAATGAAAACTGTATTAATAGTTTTTAAAACAAAACATGGACGAAAGCTGTGCTCCTTGTTCTGCTTTCAAGAAAGAATAAGCAAAAGTTTTGCTTCTGCTTGGGAGATTTAATCATGTTGATGTGCTGGAAACTGTTCTGTCTGTTTCATGGCTTTTATTTCTAGAGACAATAAACCCTAAATTTGGCTTTCAAGGTAAAAATGCTTTTTCAAAATAGAGAATTTCTCAGCTCTGAAAACAAAATTCTCAAAATTCTGCCTAAATACTTTACAGAACTTAATTTTTGGTCCCAAACATGTAAACTCTGACTAAAACCTGAGACGGTGCAGCATCACTGTGAAGCAGAATTCACCAAGCGTTGGATGGTTCACCCACTAATAGGGAACGTGAGCTGGTGTTCAGACCGTCGTGAGTGAGGTTACTGATGATGTGTTGTTGCAAAAGCAATCCTGCCCAGTACAGGAGGAACCTTTACAGCAACTCAGTGTGGTGGTGCCATCTTGGCAGACTACTCCTAACTCCTGATGAATCCAAAAATGGTCCAACAGGTGGTCCATACAGACCTGTAGTAACGCCCACTCATCACTCAAAGCAGCCACTTAAGCTTTAATATAATTCAAACACATGACTTATATAAAGATTTACTCCTTGATCAGCTGTTTTAAACGAGGAAATTAGCTGTAGACACTAAAACTGTTTCATGTACGAGGCTGTAAACACATTATTTCTACTGTAAAGTTGGGCATTTTAACATAAACGTCAGTGGTGACTAACAAGGCCTCTAGTGGCTGTTCAAGGAACTGCAGTTTTGTTGGTTTCGCACTGTTTTCAGTTTGTTTTATGGTTTTTTGTGTGTGTGTGTGTGTGTGTTATTTGGTCAGAAAGCTAGCTAGCTGGCATCCACGAATTAGCTGTAAAAAAGTTTATACAAGCTGAACAGTGGTGGATTTCTAAAAATGTTCAGTTGGGCAAGATGGGAGATTTTAATTTGGTCCCCACTTTTAATGTTGACTTCACGGCCACAGCTAAACTATATGTCAAGGACAGACAAAAAAAAAAGTAGAAGTAGAAATATCACATTTTAAAATATTGTATTGCAGGTAAACATCCTGCGTTCAGAACATTATTTAAACAAAATTATTCCATCATTATGCAATAAATGAATAAGTAGATAATGTAAATTAATTGTTAAATATATATTTAAAGGGTTAGGGTTAAAAACATCAAAACAACAAAACATCAACAACAAAAACAAACAAACAAACAAAAAACCTATTCTGAAGCTGTCTATGTCTATTGGTTATGTTTCCAGGACCCTATGAAAGGGACTGCATTGTTCTGAAATGGGAGACGAGAGGTTGCCCAAAATTTTTCAGATGAGCCACGGACTGCAAATTAAATTTTTTCTAACTTCAGAAACGACATTAGGTCCTGCAGCCAAGAGGAGTTTAAGGGAGGTGATCGATTTTTCCATAGAAGGAGAATGAAGCAATGAAGGAGGCAAAAGAGATGATGTTACGTTGTTTAGCGGTCACTTTAATACCCTTCTCTGGGATTACTGAATGATTATTGCTGGTCTTTATTGGATGAACAGGATTTTATGTACTGTATGTACCACACTGTACATCATGTGCCCCAGTGAGAAGCACATATAATACTTTCCCCTGAAAAAAAGGCAAGAATAGTCGTCTGAATATTGCACGTACAGTTTTTCAGTAAATATATCTGGTTGCAGTTCACCACTACCGTCAAACCATCGTGTCATCGCAGGCTTTCAGAAGCTGCTCTGAAACCGACCAGCCTCCTCTGATCACCCCACTGCTCCTGAATACTCGGAGGGATGATGAAGAGCGAAGGAGGAGGGCCGCCCCGACACAACAAGGCTCACAGATGGCTACACCTTGAATACAGCACCCTTACCCGCGGTTAATAAGGGTCAGATGTCAGCGGGTCAATTGGGTCCTCGTTTCGAGGTGAATGACATCACAATTCACGGGACAAAAAGTGGTGGCTGCCAAGTTTCCACAGTTTGGAGGGACGGCCTTAAGCTGGAGGTAATCCTCACTTGACTAAAACTATGGTGCAAACGGGACATTTAACATTTAAAGTACAGGTTTGTTGTCCGCTAATGAGCAACAACAGATAAGGGAGCGGATAAATGCATACCTTCCTTTAATGAGCATGTCGGGGTTAAAGCAGCTATAAATAGAGACTAATGGGACACATCACACACAATGATGTGACTAAAAATATGGAAACTATTCAACAAATATTGACAGGTTGTCTTCAGTGAGGTGGTTTTTTGCTAAATGAAAGTTCATTCTTGCTATATAGGAAATATATTGTGATGTATATTTTAGTGTAAAAAGACGAAAGCAACTCAATCAATACAAACAAAGCTGGAAACACTTTTTTGAAATCCAGCATCTCTCAAGCAAAACGTTCTCAATCCTGAGGCTGTTTGTTAAATCAGCTTTAACTCTTTAAGATACTTTTAGTTGCATGAATTAAAGTCCTTATATTCAAAATTGATTAATTCAAAAAGTGTCCCTCAAACCTGTACAGTATTTATCTGTGCTTTTCAACACTGATAAATGATTGGGTCGTGTTTCTAAATAGTTTATTTCACACACTGGGTGGGTCACTTAGAGTAACAACACTAAAGTAAAGACTGAGCACCACCGTTTGCTCGGCTGTGATGTGGACTCTGCTACATGTGCTGCAGACAGTAAATAAACAATGCAGCTGCTCTGCAGGACACACTATGGGATGGCTTTATTTCTGAATTATCCAGAGTAAGTTCATCTGCATTATGTCAGTAAATTTATGGTACAGATACACCTGTAATAGGCTGATATTGAATTATATTTTCAGCTCACTCATATACTGCTGGCAGTGCCGAAATACAACACACTATATGCATTGTCTTTACACTCACAAAAAAAAACAACAACACACAAACAAAAAACCAACAGATGCAAATTCTACAACCTGCAAAAACCCACTGTGATTGGATGCTCCAGAGCCGTCACCACCACGGTGTTAGCATGTTCTCTGAATAAAGCTGAACGATGGGATGGAGAACAATGACTAGCTGCAAACTGGTAAACCTAAAACAAGACGACAAGCTGAAAGGAGAACTCGTGTTTCTCATTCGATCCATTTTCACTGTAAAAAGTTTGTTCTGTAGTAAATAACTCAATAAAAAGCCATCCTGGGATTCATGTTAATTGGTCTGTTTAAACCCCTTCATCAGTAATTATTCACACCATAATGGAGAATTTGGCGTCAGCACCAGAACTCCAGAGGCTAATGGAGTTATCTTCAGCACCAAACCACCTGTCAGCATCCATCACTGCCAATTACTCCCACTGGCCGGCAAACTTACAGCAGCAGAGGCCGAGGGCTGCCCTGTGAGGCAGCATGAAAAGCTTCTCTTAACCCCCACAGCCAGATCCCACCCCTCCGCCCTGCTTAGTGGGCAGTTAGCGGCGGACACCACGCTCCACACAGCAGCTCCTCAGATGGAAGAGGAAAGAAACAGAGGGGAGGAGACATTATCTGGTGAGACGCACAATGTCCAGAACAACACAAAGCACTGGGGGGGGTTTCCCACAGAGTTTAGAGCGGCCAGCGAGGAGGGAGGTGTGGAGGGCAGGGCAGGGTCCTCGGGACAAAGAGCAGAGGTCATCCGGGGCTCGGTGCCCGGGGGCAAGAATTCAAGAGGAGACTTTCAGATCGGAAAATAATTCCACATTGGGCTGCGGTGTCGTTGTCGTTATCATTAATGATGTCATATTGCATTTATAGCATCAGGAGTAAATCTCAGTCATCACTTAAACAAACCAGAAATTAATGTAATATTCATTTTAATTTTAACATTTCCTTTAGTTTCATTTAAATTGAGTTCAGCCAATCGTGAAATGTTAACCAACACCAGTCGCTATTATGTGGGCAGGTGTCTATTAGCTCCCCTCTCTCCGCCTATGAGAGGGCGACACACATCCTCCATGATACGATGACCTAAACATCTCCAGAACACAAATAAGCCATTTTGCACACTCAAATTGTGAACCTTGCTTACAAACAAGGGTCAATATTTACCCCTCAGTGCACTCAGACCCCTGGATGGAGGCTAAATTGGTGTTGCTGACCAAATTAGGAACAGCTGACCTGATGTGAGTGTTAAGTGAACGGGGAGATGTCACCAGAATGGTAATCTTTTAGCATACTGGTACACTGCCCTTTGTTTTGTGCGTCCCTATTGGAGGATAACAAGAGGCTATAAGCTCCTTATCATCACATTACAATTATGGAGGATGAATCAGGATCTATGGCCCTCTGGACCCTGCTCTCCAAAAGCTATCCTTGTTTTGTGTCCAGCTCCCCAGATGGAGAGGTTTTATTATGCATGCATGCAGCCCTTCATTGTATATTCACTGCAAAACTTAGCAGTTTGTTGGTGCCAAACAATTGAAATACCTCCCACACTCCAACTTCCAGCAGCAAAGGTACTTTCTGAAGAGGCCATTGTTTCCCGCTGAAAAGACGCGATGGAACGCTGCTCGAGTATGTTTCACAAGTAATGGTTTCATAAAACATAACTAAGCATAATTATCCCTGCAGCGTATTAGGATCGAGCCCTTCCCCGGTCGATGCACGGTTCCAGATTTTCAGGAAAAAAAAAGCCTCGACTTGCTTAAATTCCAACTGCCTGCCATCTGTAATGTTAATAAGTTCTTCATAGATTTTGGTGCTCTGCAGCTCCGTTTTCCTCCAGACATGATGGTGCAGGCTTCCTGATGAGAGGACAGAGAATGGCCACCAGCCGCCAAATCCGATTTTCACAACCGTAACATAAATGTAAATGTGTCTGCTCATTACTTAGATCATTGATAAATAAATGATTTGCCATAAAGCCTTCAGCCACAGCAGTTTGAACCCTTTAACAATGAGAATTATTACAAAATTAGATCAAGCTGCTGTCGCTTCTATAGGACGTTTAAAACAACAGAGCCACAGCGTTTTCCATTAGAGAAATCAGATTAATGTCACAAATGTACCTAATTCAAATATTGGGGAGAAAATCCTAAAATACCACCAGGGTCAGTGAGTGCAGACGTCTGCCTCGACTGGTCGGGCTGAGGTGAGAAACAGATGACAAACAAGAGGATGATCAGCACCTGGCAGCTGGATGAGACCAGTAACTGCAGCTCTGAAGTCAGAAATACCTGCAGAGAGGTGCAGGGAGAGAGAAATCGTAAAGTTAATACCATGAAGTAGAGGCAAGGAGGGAGGGAAAACATCTACGATTACAAAACTACAAAGAAAACAATAAATGGTAAATGGTCTGCACTTAGATAAAGCTTCTCTACTTCAGTGGTGCTCAAAGCACTTCACAAAGTTTTCTCATTCCCCCACTTGCCTGCCATTGGGAGCAACTTCAGGTTCAGCGTCTTGCCCAAGGACGCTTCGACTATGGAGGGGATTGACCCACCAACCTTACGATCAGAGGACAACCGCTCTACCACCTGAGCCACAGCCGCCAAAAATTGTGTTTTCCAAATGAACAAAATGTGAATAATTTCAATGATCTCTGCAGTGACATTGTTCTGTTTCATCCATCAGCTGTTTGGCTCTCCTCTGACTGCTCATGCAAAATCACATTAACACTGGTGCACAATGCGGCATTTACAACCCGACACTTGTCACTCTGCAGATGTGTTAACACCGAGGCATTTCTCGACTTGTCAGCACCAGCTGTGATGCACTAAACTCCAGTTCTGGTATGATGTAGAGGCTCCCTCCACAGCCCCGACCACCTCCTTATGTGCTGCTTGTTTTTCTGTTTCCTCAAACACATGAGCCTTTTTCTTCAAATTTAGCTGTATATACAATCACAATGAATTCCACGTGCTGTGGCTTTGGACATCGTTTCTATTCTTAACCCTGTCCAGGACTTCTGGGGTCTTTTGGACCCCATGCCATTTGGTTTAGGTGACAGGTGTTGTTTATTTTTTGAAAATTTATTTTATATATAAAAAGAGGGACATTTATCATGCATTTGGAACCAAAAATACGTCAACTTATCAGAACATTTATTCAACATAGTATAAAAGTCTGTAATGAATACCAACAACTAGACCCTAACGAACCCCACTGTGGCAGGGGGAGCACTAATGACTCACATAACAAGGGGGAGGAACAACAAACCCCCAACTGAAACCCAAACTCAGGTGTTAATGTCTCCTTCAGGATATCAGTATGTGGAACTCCCACCTAGTCAGTCAGAGCTGATGAAGCCTCTTGGATGAGAGGTGGAACGTCTTCAAGGAACTCAAGCAAGTCCAGTTGCTACGATTAATCTACCAGAATAACCATGACCTGGATGACTGAGGATCTTCACAGACAATACCAACAAATATTTTGCACATATTCTTTCTTGGGGACCGTCTACGTATAACAACATGAAAGTCTTGAAGAGGGTTAAAGCTGAACTGACCAAAGTAAAACGAACAGTGAAGCTTTATGGGCCAAAACACAACAGCTTGTTACCGTCTACCTAGATTATTTTTTAATCACATCGGTGGCAATAATTCCACAGTCTTACCTGGTACGGAGCTTTGTTGTGTTTTCAGATTACGAGTGAAGAAGCGACTCGTTACAAGTCACTTTCAATGGAAGTTGTTGGTATGGTGCTACAAACTGCCGCCCAACAAAAGCTGCTAACATGACGCGCTGCTAATCAAAACTGTCCTGAACTTTTCTGAGCGTTCCAAGGAGGCTGTGAAGTCTCGACCAATCACCTGTTCATCTACTTTCCTTCTCTATCCCTGCAATCTCCTGAAACAATGAGGCTGGGAATGCTCGGCTGCTTCGTGGCTTTGCTCGTAGTGTGAACTCAACATAAGAAAGATGGACACACCCACCAAAAATTACAGAAAATGCAGAGTTAATTTGGAAAAAACAGATAACTCCATCTTCATAAACCTTCTGAACTTTTCCATCGTCTACCTGAGACAATGTCAATCTGGTATCTCTGTTGTTGTCATTTCTACTGAGTCAGATCCACTCAGCTTCAGTTTGATTGATTTTATCTCAAGCAAACAACAAAAAAATAAGTTTTCTGAAAATCTACAAAATGGAGTTATCTGATTTTGCAAAAGCACTCTTCAAATTCAAGTTTCCATTTAAACTTTGCTGACTGGCTGCTAGACTCACTTGAAGGCTCATATGTGTGTTTCCAGTTAAGTTAAGGCTCTAATCGGAGCATCCACATAACTGGATGTCTCCCATGAAGGGACACCTGCAGTGACTGTGGATCTTTACGGTCCCCTTCATAAGCCTTCACGGACATAAGGCCAAGAAAACAACAGCCCCTTGCAACGCTCAACACAACGTCCCCTTTGAAGATGCGACGACGTGTGATGTAGCACCAGAGCTACAAAAACAGTCACACCATCGTCGCCCTGTGTTGGTCCAACCCGATAAATCTTCCACATCCAGTGTTATCGTGTCACGCTGATCCTAAATTCACCCCCGGAAGCAGCACTTCCATCGCGATGCTGGTGACTTTTTCAAAAACAACCAGCTAAATCAAAAAGGGATGAATTGGAGTGAAGGGACAAAGAGTATTGTCCATTCACCATTGATATCGAGTGCATAATCTATTCATTAGCCTTGATGTGAACCACCGCCGACTACTTCGACCCCCATCAAGCACCATAACAACCGTAAGAACAATACCGAGGCGATTCAGCCGCAGTGGTGGAGGCGGCGGAGGTTTCCGGTGCGTGTCAGAGGGAGACAGTCCCTACAAGCGGGGAACCTGTCACTGTTGCCACTGGGATTGTGAGGCGAGGCCATCAATCATGGAGCACGGCAAAGGGGAAGGTCCTACCCGGCTTCGTGTTTACAATCCTCCGCTTTACGGGGTTTGGGAAAATGCTGCATTAAACTGGGGTTCTGATTCAGGAGGGGCAGCGAGAGGGATGAAAAACAATCAGACAAAACATGTATAGGGGGGACGGACACCAGCGGACAGCAGAAGTTCCCTCTAGAGTGTCCATCGTCTGTGGAGGCTGCACCATCCACAGCCTCTCCAGGTTCTCCATCGCATATGTAGGTAACCTGTCAGCACTTCACGGCTCTTCTTATCTGAAGAGCACAGCCTGGCCTGAAGAGTTCTCAAACAGCCTTTAAGACCGGGACCTTTGGGAGCGGCCAACAATAAGCCTTCTTTAGCACGGTGAAAGTGACAGCATGGTCCTCCCCCCTCCCAGCCATTAAAGCTCTTCCTGGATAAACAAGGGGAAGGCCCTTTATGAAGATGGAGAGGGTCACAAAGAGAGGAGCCATTGAGCCACTGAGGGGCCCGTCTTTGTTTTTGTCTTTCCGAGGGTCTTCTCAAAGGATGCTCTGATAGGAGGGGGAGCTATGTTTTTGTCTTTTATTCCTACTTACTGCCAGTCTTCTCTCAGCTGTGCCAAAACAGAGATGTAAACTTAATTGGCTGTATCATTTGCACAAAGTGTGGAGTCTCAGTGTCGTCTGGAGTGACTGAGAAAACATTTGATTTATATTTTTATGCAGAAAATTTTGAATGAAATGAGCTTTTTAGTGTTTGCTTCCTGGTAGGTTGCCACATCCAAACAACATGAGTGCAGAATGCTGCGGTCGCTCCAGAAACAGAGTGCTACATGTGTCTCTGTTAAATTCCATGAATATTAAATCAGAAACAACCAAATGGTCGCGGGCTGTGTGAGCGTTTGCCTCTGGAGGTGCCACTGTTTGATGCTGTCAAAGAGAGGCCCTGTCTTTTGGTGATGGGCTGCCAGGTCCGTTGATGGGTTGCCAGATTTAGGGCAACATGCTGTTGGAGCTGCGTTGTCTTGGGGTTGTGAATGAGGGGCACCTGTGACCTCTGGTCACGCTCTGCTGACGGCCCGCTGTGCGAGCACCACGCTCAGGACACACGCTGGGACCGTCAGCCTTCAACTGTCCACTAAACGGGCAGCGGCTGGATCGACTCGGCTGGACTGACGCTGACGGGATATTGTTTTTAAAACTGCTTTGTCAAGGAGGTAAAATCATCATACAAGAGCCGTTTTATCTTTACTCCACTGGCAGCTCTCTCAGTCAGGATGCCTCAAGAGGTAACATTCACTTCATCCTGGAATGAAACCAGGATCTTATCTAGTCCTCATTTAACCCTGTCAGCAGGTTCACAAACAGGCCTGGTCTATTTCAGCATGAGTTCCCGTCTGGCAGCAGCACAGGCAGAGCTGCGCGTGTCCACACATCCTAACCCACCCTCCTCTCCGAGCTGGCAGCACGCCTTCAGGCTCGGCACGACCTCTCAGGTTCCCCACGTCATGAGAAAGATATTTATTTCCCGCCAGAAACCAGATTTCCCTTTCACTGCAGACGCTATGATCAAGTGTGGACATGGCACACAGGAGGTGGGCGGCTATATTTAGATGGCTGCTTTCCACAGGTCTAAAATGAAGTCAAAGTTGAGCCCACAGAACCGGCTCACCTGCCCATAAACGAAGGGACTCCGCTGAATTCATCCACAGGAGTGATGAGTGACGTAAAAGTCACTATTTGGACAAGACAAATGACCAAATGTTGTTGCAAACATCATAAAAACATTTTATTCATCTCAGAAAATACAGTGCAGCTCAAGAGCGTTTCAAAGATGTTCTTGACCCACTGAGGAAAATGAGTGGTGCCGTATCAAAAACAGAAAATCACAGCAAGCAAAGAGGTCAAAAATATCTCTTAGAAAGTCCACATAAAAAACACACAAATGTGTCTACACATTCCTCACAAGTAGATTCTGAAAAACATTTACAAAATGTACAAAAATAGGTTGTATTGTGTGATAGTCCTTTTTCTTCTCCCCACAGCCACGGCTCCTACCACGGCCTCCACACAGAGTCCGAGGTGACGGCGGGCGCAACAGGTGACGCGTGGTGTTGTGCAGTCAGAGGAGCGAGAGCCGCGCTGGGAACCAGAAAGGCAAACTGTCCGTTTGGCGTCGGGAGGACCTGGAAGCCGCCGTACAGCTTCATCGCCTCGGGGGGGACGTGCACGGGGGAGGCGCTCCTGCAGGGCATCTGTGGCGGTGAGGTGGCTGGTATCTGGGTGCCGGTCTGTCCGAGTCCCAGGGCGCCCAGATGAGGTCCGTAGAAGTTCACGGCGTTGATCTGGGTCACGCAGGCTGCCAGGTGGCCGAGGAGGCGAGTTCTCACCTCGGTGTCCACGCCTTCACACGTGGACAGGAAACGGGTGACTTCTCCGACACACTCGCTGAACCCGGCTCGGTATTTACCCAGGACCGACGGGTCCGTGTTCACTGCAGCTGGAGGAGAAGAAACAAACACATAAATACACAAGCAGATGAACAGATGGACACTTTAGCCACTGGTTGATTCAAATAATGTGGAGGATGATGTGAGTGATGCAGCTGAGGCCTGTGAAACCAACACCGAGCAGCAAACACACGGCTGTGGGTGGGCAATAAATCTCGCAGAATGTGGGAACATGTTCACCATCTAAAGTTAGACCTCAGGGGGTGATTGCACACATCAACATACACCAGAAATGGCAGCTACATACCAGTCATCTGAAGTCGCTGCAGGTTCCTGAGGTGCTTCACAGTCATCTCCAGGATGTCCGCCTTCTCCAGTTTGGAGTGTCTGGAGCTCTGATAAGGAAAAAAGTGACATGTAGGTTAGAAATGGCTGATTTAATCCATTATTTGAACTCGTGCTGTTTACATCAGTGCATCTCCTTACATCTTTCTTGAGTGCGTCCAGGATGAGCGTCTTCAGTTGACCCAGGCTCTCATTGATGCGCGCGCGTCTGCGCTTCTCCATAATCGGTTTGGAGGACTTGAAAGAGAAAAGAAAGCGAATTTAAGTTGTTTTCAGGATTTCTACCGGATATATCTTTGATTTAAAAGCTTCAGACGTGACCTACCTTCCTGCTCTCTGTCAGGGTCCGGGGTTTCTCCGGCGTGGACTCGCCACTGGCCGGAGTGGCAGCCACCGCCGACGGAGATGTTCTGTCCAGAGTCCCGGCGGGCATCTTCAGGTGAACGACGGGCCGGAGCAGACAAACAGCAGCGAGTCGGTGCAGAGTCCCGCCTTCTCCTGGCAGAGCTCGAACTGATGACAAATGTCAGGAGTGACTTCTGTCCGCTCGCCAGCCTGACGCACAGTGTGCTCCTGTTTCCAGCGCCTCGGCCTCTATTTATAGAGACGCTGCCTGCACGCGAGCGGCTCGTGCGCGGGCGCCCGCCTCGTCCAATGAGCGCGCAGGACGCGGTGCCGGGCTCGTGCGACCGGGAGCTCCTATTGGCTGCCTGTCAGGATGCTGAGCGACTGTTTCACCAGAAGATAACTTTAAACACGTGGAAACTGCGATCCGGAGGCTCGTATGAAGCAACCTGCTGCTGCTGCTGCCTGAGGGAAGAAGGTGCAAATATTTAATCTGTTTTTAAAAATACATTCAGCCTTCATTAAATCTGTCTTTACATTGAGGTGCAGAGGCCTCATTTACAGTCTAACATGCGAGATGTAAGCGCACAGATAAGAAATCTGGACAACAACAAATGAGAAGGAAAAAATGGTAAAACAATAAAATAAACATTAATTAGAGCCTTTAAATTACAACAACAACAACAAAAAACTAAACTAAATAATCAACTGAACAAGAACAGCTGAATGTAAACTTTAATGAAATTAAAAACCTGAGATGTGCTGAGGATACAAATTAGTCCAGCTGTTCACTCTGGTTGCAGCAGCACAGCGAGTAAAACTAGATCTCAGTTCTAAAAAAAAAAACAAAAAACCAACACCTGCAGAGTAATCTGGTTGAGCGTGTGCAGTAAGAGCCCATTAAAAGATAGTGGTGATTATAAAAAACAAGAGGAGGAGGAGTTGCAGATGATGCATGCATGTCTGAAATGTCACCATCATCCAGCACTGATTTAAAAAAAATAAAAAAGTTCCCTCATTAAGCAGCAGAGCACATATTTTGTTCCTATAAAAAATAATAATAATAGTAAAAATAAAATTAAAAAATGGGAACTCGATATTTAAAAAGTCAGCTTCTCATCAAACCAGAATCCCAGATATTTGTGCAACTTTTTCAATATTTGTACCGTTTAGAGGAGCCGTGACCACATCTCTTCTGGGGAATATTATGTGTTCAGTTGTTTGGGTTAAGTCATTTATGCTTACTGGGCATAAAGCAGCATTAAAGGGCTTTTTCAGCAGATTGTACATTATCTGAACTACAGTACAGTGTTGTGTCGTCAGCATAGAGACGTACATTACAGCTGGAAACACATTATAATCTATGTACAGAGGGAACAAAACAGGCCCCAACATTGAGCCTTGTGGGACACCTTTTACAAAATCTCAAAATGAGAATTTGTCCACGAGGTAGCCCTGGAACTAATTAAAAACATTTTTACTAAACAACTATACTATAAAATATCATTTAGGAATTAAATCAAATCAAAAGAAAAAAATCAAAGTTTTGCTAATTTTGTCTTTATTGAAAGTTAAAGATCTAATGTTTGCAATGTTTGTGTAAGAAACTGTCAAATGAAACGACATGAAAACACAGAACTTTTGAAAACAAGCTGCGAATAACCAAAACATTGTGTTTATATTTCACGTCATCAGGTGGGACATTTTGCAGACAACCTAAAGCATCTTTGCTGTCAGATGTTCAGTAAATCAGGTGTTTTTAGTGACTTGTACGGTTGACTATCAGTGTTAACAGGATTCTGTCTGGAAGGTGAAACAAACTCTGATGGATGTGGAGGTTAAATAACAGTGAAATAATGTGCAGATTTTTAACAAACTAAAACTCATTTTGCTCTTTTTAGCAGAACATTTAGATTCTTTTCCCGAGAACTTGTCACTTAATGGCGGCGCACATGGATGCAGCACCCCCTTCAGGAGACAGCGAAAGTGAACGTTTAGTGTCTTGCCTATCCCAGACGTGCATTCCGTAAAACTAAATGTACAGCAAATGACAATAAACCTGATTTGATTTGATCTGATTTGATTTGACTTTTCACCACACCTGTGAGCTGCTGAAAAAGGCCCAGCAGAGACTTCCTGAGGGTGCTCAAGAGAAACGACATCACCCAGAGACTGCTGGTGTGGTTCTACAGGTGCTCCATAGAGAGGATGCTATCATGTGTGGTACACCAGCTCAGAGGAAAGCGCTCCAGAGGGTCATCAACACGGCCCAGAAGAACATTGGCTGCCCTCTCCTCACTCTGGAGGAACTACACGGCCACTGCTGTCTCAAAAAAGCCTAGAACATAATGAAGGACACTTCACACCCTGGTCACTACCTGTTTGAACTCTGGCAGAAGATACAGATCGCTCAAGGACAAGTGGATTCAGAGACAGCTTCTACCCCACAGCAATAACAACACATTTAAAATGTCGTAAGCGCATTAAGGGATCCTGCAATTTAGAGATGGATGTATGTGTGTGTTTGCATGTCTGCAATTACTTATTTATTTAGATTTTTTTATTTAATTACTTTTTTATGGTTTTTATAGTCTTTATTTTTATTTTGACATCAGTGTTGCGCTGTTTGGTTTGGCACTTTTTAATTCCATTGTACTTGTTACGATGACAATAAAGTTTCTATTCTATGTTTGAATAAAGCGGTTTAACATCTGTCTGGAGGAATGACTTTAATGCAAACTCACCGGTTTTTCCTGCAGATTTTTGGGGTGACTCGGAGTTTGAGATGGAGACTCGGTCCTCTGACAGGCTCCTTGGTGAGAAGAAATTCTGCAATGATGCACTCGTTTGTCTTCTACGAACTCTTCGTCTGTCTGTTATCAGAGCAGACAGCAAAACGGAGCCGGTTTTTAAAACCTTTCTGAAGATGGATAAACAATAAAACAAGCTGCAAGGGGTTTGTAATAACAGAACCTGAATTATTGTTTTAAGTAAAGGCATTTCCTTCATAACAGCAGCTGATTTTTAATATATAACTTTAACTGTAAGAGAAAATATTAACTTCAGGGATATTCAGTTGATCATAAGATAAATCCATCCTTTTATTTTCCTTTATTATCCAATAAAAAACTACTTTTTGACTCATGTAGAATATATTTCATGGTTGTTCTATTCAGCCTCTGCAGAGTTTTTTTTATTGAAGACGAGGTTTTTTTTTTCTTAAATTGATGCTGACATAGAAAGAACTGTGAAGAATGTGGTTGCTTTTTTTCTCTCTCATGTACGATCCAGGAAGAAAAGTGAGAGACTGCTTTCTTTTCCTGTCTGATGCTGATTCACAGCAAATAAAGGACCTGTCGTTCATCTTTATGTGGATCGTATTGTGTTCCTATTTACTGTTTTTTCCTCATTTCATAATTAGTTTTCAGGTGTGAACTGTATAAAATACTGAAGACAGGTTTCGATTGTTAAAACCTTCCTCGACTTTCTCAGACAATCTGCATTTTCTGGTTTCTATACTAAAATACTCGTGCAGTGTCTACGTGATGACTCATTCAGATTTCACCGCGCGCTGCTCGTTTCATTTAGAGACATCTCTGTTGGGCTCAGGTTTATCGTCGGCCGCCTCGATCCTCCCTGATGGACTTCAAACAGTCTTTGTGAAGCTCCTAAACCCTCAGAGGTGAAATGACCCCAGAAGCAGGTCAGTGTTCAACATCCACAGCTTCCTCTCTGCGTGACAAGCTTCAAGCACCGCTGGCTTCCTGACCCGAGTCAAACAAGCTCAACGAAACCAAGGCTGGAACTAGAGGACTGTTCTTACTGATAATAGAAAATAAAGATGATGTTTTACTTTTAAACTTTAAGGGGCCTGAAGACTAACTCAAAGACAAAAGCAGAACAAGATAAAGTGAAGGGAAGACGCAGTGACATGCTGTTGCCTCTGTGTTCTCACAAATGAATAGAATCAGCAGCTCTGAAATGAAAACCGGGTTCTGTTTCTATTCAGCTCACCCACTAATCACCTCACACACCTCCACCGCTCTCCTCGAGGTCCTCAGTTAATCTTGTTGCTGGATGCTTTTTGCAAGATGCTGTCTGAATATTCAACTTTTTTTTCTTATTACACTTATATTGTATTTTTTAGTTAGATTTTTTGCTGTTGTTTTTATTGTATTTATTATTTATTAGGCTTTTTCTTTTAAAAAAAATATTTCGTACTAATTTCGTACCTCAAACATGTGAATGTGAGCTGGCATGACAAATAAACCTCCTTGGATCCTTGAATCCGCCTGAGGTTGAGCGTGCAGCAGCGGATGAGGGAAGAGCAACAATAAATTACGTCCTATCAGCGGTGCTTCCAGCCAGCCCGCTGCTCTGCCACAAACAGCCCTTCATTGTGCAGATGGTGATGTAGAGATGAGGTTTATAGCACAACCCTGATCTGTATCAGTGTGGGAACTCTGGGAGGCTGCAGGAAGCACAGAGAGGCTGAGAAAGTTATCAAGGTTATGATGGATGACTACAAGCTCACAGGACCAGACGGATGTGAACGATTCTCAGTTTGGATTATTGATCATATATTGAAACATTTACAAAAAAAAAAGTAAATCTCATGTGACTTTGGCAGAACAATAAAAGCCTTTGTGAACTCATTTCCATCACTGTCTCTACTGTTTACACAGAAAACAAAGCTTTGCTGAAACTGATGCTGATGTTTAGGGTCTGACATCAAGTCAGAAAACTCAAATCAAGTCAGCTTTACTTATATGGTACATTTAAAATAACTGCTTTCCAGTAAAAATAACTATTATCAGCTTTATGAATTAACGCTACAAGTTCAGATATCGGCATTAGGACCTTGTAGTGTTATTACAGGTGTGATTTTATCTGAGTAATTTGCATATTAGGGATTAAAACCCTATAAAAAAATACATAAAATACTACTTAACCTGATTAAAGTACATCTTATCTTGATCTTACAGTGTTATTAATGATGAAGAACTAATTTAAAAATGTAGCTAAGAAATAATAAACCATAATTATTGAACTAATTTAAATAATAATAAGGCTACAGCATTAGTGATTAATTAACTTGATGAAACATGAAATTGTTTTTAAAAAATTTCAGAAAGCAGATTCGACCGATTATTTTTAAATCTTTATTGAAATACAGTGAGTTTAAGATGTCATAAAAAAAAAGAAAAAAGTTTAGATTTCCACAGTTTCTAAAGTAAAACAGTCTCATGACCACTGTGAAGGATTTGATGGTTTCTTAAAATAAAGGAGGCGACTAACTGCATCTCATGACACCAGAAAACCTGCACGGACTGAAATATCTGAAGTTTTCTGGTTGTTATAACCAAAGAATTCCCCCCAGTTTCCTCAAATGGTGATAAAAGTAGATGAAAACACTTTCATTTTAAAATCCTAAAAGCCTTTAATCAGTGAATTTGACGTTGAGGAAGCTGCAAGAACTGACGCCTGCTTGATTATCAGTCTTATCGATTTGTTTTACTGGAGGTTTCTGTTTGTAGGGAAGAAAACCACAGACCAACAGCATCATCTAAAGCCAGAGGATATTAATTCTGTCCTGTAGGTTTATGTAAGTGGTGAAATGAAGGCAGCCGGACGAGAAGACGTGAAACACAAAACTAAAGCGATCCAGTTGCCTTTGTTTGTCGATGTACCTGCAGGATTGAGAAACTTCACAGACATCCAGGAAGTTTAAAGTCCCAGCTGGATATACGTCTGGTAACTACCCTGCACTGATTTTCAGCTGCTGTTATTACAAACCAAGCTTACTCAATATTTATTCTTTACTCTAACATTTATTGTTTATTGTTGCACCAACCCACCAGAACAAATTCCTCGTATTGTGTAAACTATACCAGGCAATAAATCTGTTTCTGATTCTGATTTCAGCATGCACTAACAGTGAGCTGAGTGCTTTCACATCATTAGCATAAAGTCATTTTATTGTAGATGAGATCAGGTTTTCTTTCTCCTGGATATTAACGGACTAAACACTGTTTCTCAGCTCATGTAGGGGGTAAAAAACTAAATAAAATGAACTAAATCTCAAGTAAGAATGGCTAAAATGTGACAAGTTTCTACACTTTTCTGAACATTTTTCCAGCCGCCTCACTCTCCATCTTCACCTGGTCCGACGGCAGCTTCCTCCTCCAGCCGGCCGCCACGGCAACCGCGCGGGCAGTGAAATGACCATCCTCATCATCAAATACTGCAAAGATTCCCTTTCAACTGCTGGTATGAAAACATCTCGGGCCAGGAGGGGAGGGCGCAGACAGAAGGGATCACTTAAACATCTCGTCCAGAGCTCCACTCGCTCTCCGGCCCTCCTTCTGCCTTTGAATTCCCCCTTAAAGAGGGAAGGGGGGCCCTTCCCTTAGCAACTCCCAGCCCCCGGCTCTGCCCGCCTTTTGTCCCCCTCCCCAACAGCAGTTTCTGCTCCAGAAGCCTTAGACAAGGCCTCCATTAATTGCGGGCCTGTGTGGAATACACGTGGGACAATGGGCCCAACAGAGTGTCCGGCCCCCAGACAAGGCTGGAAACAAGTGGTACAGGAATCCGGCAGAATAGACTCGTCCTGGCTGATGTCACTGAATACATTTACCTACCTCAGAGCGCATTCACTCCGCGCTTTGTTTTATTTGGACAAAAAAAAGAAGGGGTAGGGGGGGAGGTAGCCGTATCAATGGAGAAGAGGAGCTGGGAGGTGGGGAGGGGGGGGCTCCTGGATGGGAAATAACTGGTCGTCATGGTGATGTACTGAATCAAAAATATGGTCGAATTTAGCAGAGGCAGAGATGTAAAAAGGCTAGAGGGCATTAGATTAAACCCTGCGTGAGATAAGAGAAGGCTGAAAACAGAGGTTTAGTTTTTTTAGCGCATTCAGGCCTGTTTATACGGCAATAAAGGGCGGATAAAGGAGCGGGAGATTAGGAGACTCATCTGGGCTCATGTTTGTCAACAACAACCTGAGCGGTTTCAAGTCAGCTTATTCCAAGTCAGTACACCGGCCTCGGAGGGGATGCTTAGCGATGGCAAGTGAAGCTGCGCAGGAAAAAGGGGGACCATAGCAACTGGTATTCCAGCATAACAACCTGCCATCTGTCACCTAACCTAGTGGGTTCCTTCATGAAAAAGCCAGCATTTAGATCTTCAACTTGGAGGCAAAGGCAATGAGACTGAAGTCTTATTGAACTCTGGGTCTCCCCCTTTGAAAAGGGAACCCAGTCATCGCCTTATCCCTCATCAAATTGAAAAACGCTTTTAGAGATTCTAAGAGAGGCCTCACATTTAATTTTTAAAACCCAGACATGAAAGTGTTCGCTAAACCACATTCAGCAGTGGAAACTCTTTAAAGCACTAGTTAGCATGTAGATTATATGCATTTCAGTGCATTGTCAAAGTATCTAAGTGTATTTACATGTTAATATGTTCAGGGATACTATCGTCTTGAAAAGGTGTTGGGGGTAGGTTGGTGAACTGTGTATTTTCTGCCCGTGCACCATGGGAATGTGATTTCTTTGTGCCATCGGTGTTCAAACACATTCCTGTAAGGCCATGGATATTATGAGCATTTATTCCCGGCAGCAAAACAACCTATGAACCTGCTGATCCTGGCACCCAAAAGAACGTAAATATAGCGTAAAGTTAACTTAGCCGTAGAGGTTAAATTAGATCTTTTATATGGGCAGCGAGTCGAAAGCTTCCCTCCAGAAGAGCTGCTGCCCGTCCATGTGGAGCTTATCCTCATCCAAGCTGAGTCCATATCCACGAGTGTGTTTGTGTTGGGATTTATGAATGTGAAGATGCCCCATTCTTGCCACTCAAGATGACTCACAAGACCAGCGTTTTGGCCACTTATGCAGTGAAAGCAGCCTGGGGGATGCCCTTTCAGCACTCGAGGACCTCTGGCTGAGTCCCCTTCACATGGCAGATCAGCCTCACTTGGGAAAAAGTCCCCGGTCTTTACAGACGGCGCTGTCCTGAGGGATGGCGCGCTCCTTGTCCCAGGGCCTCCCTTCTTCACCTGCCGGCTTAGCGCTCATCACTTATGCACATAATCCCTGGTTAGTGCATGTGATCCACCAGCCTGGGCCCAGGCCCCTGGCCCCCGAGCCTCCCCTGCTCACATGCTTGCTGGGTGGCTCCTGGGTGGCCATGGCAACTCTCATCTTCTCATGACAGTTAGGCTTCAGTCATGGCTCTAAGTCCCTCTTCAGTCACAGTGCGTCTTTTTCTGTCCACTGTTTTCCGTCTGCTAAAGCCCTCCGCTGTTTGTGTGTTGCTCCGTCTATGGCTCTCTGTCTCGCCTTTCTCCCATCCTGGCTGTTCCCAGGCTTTGGCTCAGCTGAGCCTGAGAAACCGGCCATAACTCAGCAACAGCGTGGCACCTTCAGGGGCCACAAAAGTGCCTTTGGGTGCCATTCTAGTCCAAATTTAAAGACTGGATTCACCATCAGCGCAAATGAAGGCCTGACCTCATTTTATTGTCAGTCTGATCTGTAAACTGAGATTGTAAGATACACTTGTGCACTTCTTTTCAGCGCAGTCACTGCAGGCTTCTGAGTGCAGATCATCTTACCGCGGTGCAACCCCGCAGCCTCGACCATTAGTTTGTTTAAAGCGCTGAATATCACTGTGGGCCCTCGGGGACAGCGATAGAGGCGATCCGGCAATGTTGTGTGGCCCCACACTAACAAGTGTCACAGTGATCCGAACCGGTCCTCCCCCTGTGTGAACGCCATGTGAGAGGCGGCTCCATCCATGCCCCTGCCACCTCCGCACAAGGCCCTCCATTGACTTCTAACCTGATGAGGGACCACGGGAGACAAAGAGCCGCTGGGCGGTGCCCGTCCCTCCGACAAGCCTGTGAACAAACGTTAACACGGCTGCAACTGTCCACCCCCTGAATCACTGAATTTATTGACCAACCACAGAGCCCATTCAGGCCGGGAAGCGCTGATAAAGGAAGGGGGACATGGGATGCCACGGCGGCCCAGGGAAGAAGCCCATGCTGAGGGGACAGGAGGGAGGAGAAGGGCTTTGTGACCGTCTGGTGGGTCACAGACCTTTTACCAGACGTGGTTGCCTTTGTGTCATCTGTAAAATGAGGCTGGCCGTAAGTGAGCATCAGGTTGGCCTTGTGTCCCGACTATTAATCAAGACGAGGGCCTTCTGACTGTCTGACCACCTTCAGTCTTCTGTGGACTAAGGAGATGCAAAAATGTGTGCGACGCCAAAAAGAGCAACTTGTGTTGGAGGAAAGTGTGTCAGAGTGGCCGTTAGGAGACAAAACACCCGAACCGAGCCTGCAAAGAACCCGTAAACAGACTGAGCGCACAGGCCTAAAGCTTGAAAGTACACAAGCCAGACAAAAAAACGTATGGGTAAAAAGAGAAAGGAGAAAAAGTCTCAAAATGCTTGAAATAGCACACGTCTGAGCGCAAGCTTGAGAAAATCTTTGTGAGTGAGAAGCTAGCTGTGAGGAAGAAAGACTGTGTGTTTTAGCTTCTTTATGTCTCTCCACCACTCTCCATCTGTTCCCCTACTGATACAAAAGGAATACAGCAGAGTACACAAAAACCCATATTGCTTTGTGGAGAGGCAACACTATCCACGAAACTACATCGCAAACACCGAGCGAAAGCAGGACATCCCGGCTCTGTACACAAACGTGTTTACCGAAAAGATGATCAACGCAAGTCACAGAGACACACATGAATTCATGATGCCTCCTCATCCTCATCATGAATATTCCCAAAAAGGCTCTTCCCTGATCTGTGGGAGATTCTTTTCTCTTTGGTACAAGCGAGGACCCCCTTCCCTTATTCACAGTCCCCCCTAAATCCACCCATTCACTGCCTATAGGCCCTGATCTCCACATGAAATGATACCCCTCTTTCTCCTCCACTCTCGCGCCTTTAAGCGCCCATATGCCAGGCAGCGAGGAGGCTGGGAAAGCCCATAATTGATCAGTAAGTCTTGGCTGAAAAAGTGTGACCAGGGTCAGCCCCCCACGAAGCACGCAAGAGTGGCTTAATACACAGATTTATTGGGAAACGTGATGGAAGTTCTGCAGAGCAAACACCGGGATATCTGTAGACGCACTGAAACATGTTGTTGTTTTTCTCACATTGTAGAAACAAGAAAGTGAATTAACAGTTAAAAACATCGTTATAATTAGCAGTAATACACGATTCATATTTTAATTTTGTCAAACTGACTATAAAAAAATGTACACAACAGCAATAGACAAAGTTACGCAAAAATATCTAAAAAATCTGACGTTAAAAAATCAACTGTTATAAAATCTTCACAGCAGCAAGTGTCTCAGTGATTCGTTTAAAGGCATTAATTCATTAATCAAAACATCTGTTACGCCTCATTCAGGTTAAATGGTTGAATTAATGCAAAGTTTTAGCTCATAAACACAGTCATGATTTGAGAAACAGAGCACAAACTACCTCCGATGCATTCGAGGGACGATGAAGTGGTTCATTCTGACGCTCTTCACTTTCACACAGTTTTTGTTTGTTTTAAAGGGACGCAGTCATTTCTGCTTTTTTCTCTTCCACGGGAAGAATTTCAACCAAAGCAACTCTAAAAAAAAAAAAAAAGAAAAAAGAAACGCAGCAGTGGAGTGTTTTAGTACCGGTTGGCGTATTCACAAACTTGACAACAAGATTATCTGGTTTGTTTTTCACAGGAACCGATTATATAGCAGCAGCTGATGGAGTTGAATAAACGGATGGTGTAGCTGCGTGACGAACGAGACCGACGAGAAAATTCACCTCATCGGATTCAGATATACTTCAAACAGTGGAAACACTAATCTGACATTTGCACAGTGTCTGGTTCAGTAGCTGCATTTTGTATGTCAGCGGTCACAAACAGGTAAAGATGTTTTTAGAAGCTTGATACCATCCTCATGTCTGCAGGAGCTACAAGCAGCACATCTTATCTGAGGCTGGTATCAAGCTGAACACTAGAGTGCGTTTCATCCCCACACGACCGCACTATACACAGTCCAAATATATTCATACCCTTCCATTAAAAAAAAAGACAAAATCCACAACAGTCACTCAAATAACTAGAAACTGAAAAAAGTAATAATAAATTAAAATTTGCAAAATCATAATTTGGTGAAATAAGATGTTGCTTTCGAAAATGTGATTGAAAAAAATATTTAATAAAAAAAAAAAACAAAGCAATCTTTATTATTACTTTTGTCAACTTATTTCAGCTGTTGTTTTCCTTCTTTAATGGGAGGGTCTGAATAAATCTGAGGACGACAGTAGGAGGGATGTTTCCTTCCCTGATCGGAGTCATTTAATATCTAGTGTTCTCCTTGATAACACACATTTTAAGTAGATTAAAGCTATTAAAGTCAATCCAGTGTCTACACTCGACAACTCAGCAACGCATTAAGAACAAACAAAGAGTTCATTTGCAAAAACAGATGACTCCACTTTTCTAGATTTTCAGAAAACTTGTTTTTTTTGTTGTTTGCTTGAGATAATATCAATCAAACTGAAGCTGAGTGGATTTGACTCAGTAGAAATGACAACAGCAGAGATAACTTAAGTTTGACTGATGTCTCAGGTAGACGATGGAAAAGCTCTGAAGGTTTGTGAAGATGGAGTTCTCTGTTTTTGCAAATGAACTCTTCACATACTGCCTTTCTGCATCGAGCTGTTCCTTTACATCATGTAGGTGGTCGTGAACCTTGTTGTAAACCTACAGAAGGACTGAAATTAGATGGAAACAGAGATGATGAAAACCTGGATTCTCTACACAGATGTAAATAATGATTGTGCACCAGGTGGATCCTCGTACTGCTCGTAGCAGCCCGAGGAGGCGGCACATCGGACTACAGGCGGGTCAGCATCGACAGGCAGAGATTATTTAGCTGCCAAAGGGCCCCATGACAGAGACTTCTATCAATGTCCTCCAACCAGAGCTCAAATCTGTGCTGCAGCAGCTGATGTTCACAAAGGAATGGATTTGGATTTGTGTCTTGCTGATCTCAATCTGTCACATCAGGACATCCCAACTATAAAGCATGACCAAAAAAAAAAAAGATCAAACAGTGTGTCGAATGCAGGATCCTAAAAACATCCAGTGTGTGGCGTTCGATCCAGCGTGCTTTACTAACCATTCTGTATGAGATGTGAAACGCTGGACTTGTCTAGAATCTGATCCTGATCATGAGGCGATGACTAGTTTTATTTTACCTTTGCATGGAGCCAGGCTAGCCGGTTCCCTCTTTGTCCAGCGAGTCCTGGTGCTGAGTTAAATCAACCAATTTTAGCATCTAACTTTCAACGATAACTGCATGTTCCACAGCGCTAAGCTACACCTTCAACAATCCTGTGGCTCAAGTTTCAGCAGCGTGACCAAACAGTACGGCTAAAATCCAACTGCAGGGAGTGTTGATGAAGCGAATCAAAAATGGAAGATTGAAAAGTTCACAGTGTCAGTCGATCGGTACAGTAGGAGGCCTCCTCGCTACGAAGGCTGGCCAGCAGGAATCAGCATCACCAGTCACTTCAGATTCTAAGTCAGGCTCACTGGGAGCTCCAGGTTCAGTCTGTGCTGGGTTTCGGTCAGCAGTCATGTGAGGGTCAGGGAGGCGGGACTCGTGCCGTAGGTGATGGTGGAGGGTTTGGGAGGCCAGTCGGCGTCCTCCAGCAGCTCCAGAGCCAGATGCTTGTACTGCACCCTGGGCGGCTTGTTCTTCCGACAGAACAGCCAGAGGAGGAAGGGCCTGCCCCAGCGGTCGATGGACGGCTGGGAAGAGCAGGAAAGTAAAAAAGAAAGAACTAGTCAGCGAGTTGTGGTGTAGGTTTATATCCCCTCGATAAACGCATAGACTGATGTCCCTCTGTTATCATTATCATCACTATTATTATTTGTTTTTAGTTATTTATTAGCCGGTTTATTTATTGATTAGAGTTCTAACCTTTTATCATATTTTAATATTTTATCACCAGCTCACTTTTAATGCTCGGTTGCTGCTGTTGTTGTCGTTACTGTTGTCTTTTATCTGTTATATGTTATCTGTACCTGTGAGCTGAGCTTGAGATACCCGAATTTCCCCTAGGGATGAATAACATATCTATCCATCTATTCATTCATCATCCATCCATCCATCCTTCCATCCATCCATCCATCTTTTGTTTAACTTTCTGAAACCCGCCAGTTTGAAACGCACGTCATCTTGAAAAATCCCTAAAATTACACCATTTGACAAGAAACTCTAAAACTAGAACGAATCATCGGAGTTTTAACTCTGCGATGGTCCCTGGGCGTGTCGGGCGAGAAAATGAACCCAATCTAACTTTAATCAAAACCACCATAAATGATGTCTCATTTTAAAAAATGCCAAAAATAAACAGTTTGCATTAACTAGATTCTGTTAAAAATAAATAATAATAATAATTACGCGCTCCGTCCGTGCAGCCCTGAAGCCGTTAATGACTTGGCTGTGATTAACGTGAGCCGCAGATTGTGTTTAAACCACCAGAGAGGAGACAAGTATGGAAACAAATAATAATAAAAAAATCTGTAGTGTTTTGAGTATTATTATCACCTGTAGGCACTTGGAAAAATGTTGTACATTTCTTTTTTTCCCCCCAATATTTGCCAAAATAAATAAGTAAACAAATTCAATTTTTCTTCTTTTTTTGGATGATTTTTGATATTAAAATGGTAAATAACATGTCTGCGTTCTCTCTACTTCTAGCCACTGTTTTCATAGAGGTGCAGGACTTTTATATCGCAGTGAAAAATTATTTTAAAAAAACGTGACAGCAACAGACAGTTAAATGAATTCATAAATAATATTAATATTAACGTGAGAAAATTAATAATACATTTTGTACCTCTAATGATTGGTTTGTTGTTGTTGCATTTGATATACTAATATTTTACACACCGAGCACATAAACATATAAAATACTAGATTACATACAGCACATCCACGTGCCACTAATAAAAACTGGAACACAACATTTTGTAGTTAAACAACATATTGCACAGCTTGTAACTGCTATTCTTAAATCATCTTGTGCATTTTAACCATGAGAAGATTATTGGTATGTTGACTTTTCCTAAGCCTTTTATAGATTATGTGATATATGTACATGCACATTTTGTACAGTTAGTTTATTTATTTGTATTTTTTAATAGCATTTGACTTTAGCCCTTTCTTGTTGTGATTTAGTGTTTTTCTTTTTTGCTGCTGTTTTGCAATAATTTCCCAGGTCTGGGATAAATGAAGTATTTCTATTCTATTCTATGTGCAGCAAATTTCTACACCACTGAGGTGTGTTGACGGAAAAAAGCAAAGTGAAAATGATTAGCGGATTCATGAAATAAACAATCATCGAAAAAAAATGAAAAGATGCACTGAAAGGTGACGTGATGAACAACAGATGTGTTTATATTTCAATGTCTGTGATATTGACAGATTAGGACACAGAGGAAGAGATGCGAAGAAGCAGGAGGATCGGAGTTAAGGAAACTCTCTAGACAGCGTGACCAGACAAAACACATCAGAGTGAAAAGCTTCCCAACCTGCGGCGTGTCGGCTGAGGAGGCCTCTGCGGGGCGACTCGGCCCCTCATTGCCTCTGAAAACTAGCCTCCACAAGATGATGTCAAGGATCAAAATCTATGAGAGATTTCAGCTTGAGAATCAGTCGATCATTGCAGATTGAGTTGGCAGCCACAGAAGCACACAAAAGGCAGAAACAGCTCCAACGTAAGATTTAAAAGAAATAAAAATAAACATGATTCATTGATTTCATGAATTAGAATGCGAGGTGCCACCGAGCGCCGATTCAGGCAAAATCAAAGCATGAAAATCACAAGTGAAAAGAAGGAGATCAGTCGCAGAGAGGTGTTTCTAAAGCGTACCTCCAGCAGGAAAGACACGGCCGTGTTCACCAAGATGATGACGACCAGAGTGACGCGCCAGTCAGAAGGAACGCACACGATCTGAGGGGAGAAGCAGGAACAGCAACGAATGCAACACGTATTTACACTTTCTCACAGAGCTCTGATGTTCAAAACTAAAACCTGGGCCTGAAATATATCAACTGAAGGCCAGAGAATGTGAGAAAATAAAAGTTCACCTCCAGGAAGTTGTCGATGGCGGGAAACGGATGCAGCATGATGAGGAGGAGAAAGAAATACAGGACCGCGCAGTACAGCATGAACGGCCCTGAGGACGTAAGAACACAGACGCTTAGGGAGTTATTTACACTTTATGAGACGAGATTAGTGGCAGAAGAGATCGCGACTGCAGAAATCTGTGAGAAAAGTAACAGATGCATTCGGGAAAATTATAAAAAATCACACTAATTGTTGAAATCCGCAGAAATTGTCCCATTTACTTTATTTTTTCAAAACGTATGCCTTTGAATTTTTACGACCCGGTTCTTTAACAGCACAGATAAATTGTTCTTGTAGTTTAATCGTTGCAGCTGGACCTGCTTGAGTTCCTTGAAGACGTTCCACCTCTCATCCAAGAGGCTTCATCATCCATCCTTAAGGATATCAGTATCTGGAACTTCCAACTAGTCAGTCAGACCTGATGAAGTCTTTTGGATGAGAGGTGGAACGTCTTCACGGAACTCAAACAAGTCCAATTGCTACGATTAATCTACCAGAATAACCACGACCTGGATGACTGAGGATCTTCACAGACAGCACAGCTCAGTCTTACAGTTTTTGTAGCTCGGCTGTCTGAAGGGCTTCCCCTTGGAGAAGATGACGGCCACAGCCAAATACTGGAAGGACGAGACGTAGAAGAGCGTGGTGTTCTCGTAGTTCTTGATGTTCTTATGGTCGACGTGCATTGTCTCGTTGACGCTGTACGAGTGGTTGGAGGTGGAAATGTTGCAGGCGCTGCAGGAGGAGAGGAAAAGGCAGAAAATCAATGTGAATGTCTCTTCTTGTAAGAATCTACAAAAGAAGTGAGCACAGCACTCTGGTGTCAGAGGGTTCAAAACTGAATCACTTTACAGTAATTGTATTTAACTTGATATAAACTTAAAAATTAACAGTTTAGACTCAATGTTTAGAATACAGAACCCACAGCAGGGGATTTATGTAAAAAAAAAACCTTTCATTACTGTGATTCAGATCTTTTTCTTTTTTTTTCAACGTGTCCAGCTTGATTTTCGATGACAGAATCGATCCATGAACAGTTTTGTACACATTTGTAGAGACGTTCTGACATTTTTTTGAAGGGGTTTTGTTGCTCTTTGTTATTATTATATATATAATTTGGTAAACTGGATTCCAGTCAGGCAACATACTAGGTCAGGTCATAGCTTTTACTTTTCTTGCTTTAGATACTCTTGTGTGATTTCATACTGGAGTCATTCGTTCAATCTATACATAGAATCTCCCCGACAACCTTTCTACTCCTGCAGCCACACATCATCACTCTCCAACCTCTGTGCATTCAGTGTGGTGTACCTGGCCACATGGAGGACCCCATCTAAACAAACGGACCTCATCCGATCAAAGAATGTGCTTCCAATATTCAACAAGATGTTCTTTAGCAAAGTCTCCTCTTGCAGTTTTGTGCTGAAGAGTAACTTAACAGAAAGTCAGACTTCCATTCATAACACTTGTACTGATTCTAAACTCACCTGTCAGCATTCAGCTTCACAGGCTGTTTGAGTCACCATGAAATTCAGAAGTTAAAAGTGCCCAAAGGTCCAGAGGGACTACAGACCAGTTCAGAACAACCACAGTTTCCCAAACAGTCTTTGCGGAACACGTCTTTACCAATCAGTGATTTAATGATGCTTCATTCGTTAAAGCAGATCTCTAACGTGGCCAAAACCAGAACCAAAACTTACTCCGACTGAGGCGTCCACTTCTCGTACCAGCTCTGCTGCTGCACCAGGAGGAAAGCCAGCACCTGGAAGACCAGGCAGGTGAGGATCTGGGTCAGAACCGAAAAGAGCAGCGGGCCGGAGATCAGGCTGGACGGCGGGCGACGCAACACCAGCTCCTTCCACGCTGGGTTCAGACTCACTGGAGACAGAAACAAGAAGAGAAACTGTGAATGTTCTTCTGTTTACTGGATGTTAAATACTTAAACTAAAAACTGACTGAAAGCACATTTTGTTGCTGCTCACTTGTAAAGACGTTGATGAGGATGATGGCGATGTCGATAAAGAGGAACTGGAAGTCTCCCAGATTGCTGAGAACCTACAACATCAGAAACACCAGTCACAGCAGCAGCAGCACATCAATGGATCCAGAACATCTAGAACATCTACTGACGATAATGTCAATTTGTCTGTCGTGCTACAGTTTAGTCGGAACATCTTCATCCCTCTCAGACATGTGCTCCTCTCTGGTAGTCTGACAGGATGTAAACACGTCTGAATGAGCACTTTGCTCACTTTTCTGTTAAAACCACAACTACATCAGACCCAGTAACGTTAACGTATCACAGTCACACAGGCACAAACAAACGAGACACTCTGAATTATGTGAGAAGATTCGGTGAAGACTTTTTCCACATTTCAGCTCCGGCACTGGTCCGAAAACATCACAAAGACACGACCACAAAACGCCTTTAAATCGACTTTCTTCTACAAATTCACATCTATTAAAACCTGAGTTTCTATAAAACTTTGCTACGATGACGATAACGGGTCAGATAAATGAGAATCATGGAAGAAATCTGGGTTTTTAATTCATGTTAACGGGAGCTGAAGTTCAGTGTGTTGCTTCCAGCTGTTTGGAACTTTACTACACATCAACAGCAGTGATGAGGACCAACCGCAGTGACCTCATTAATTACTTATAAATGATCCTAAATATGGGGACAGAAGCAACAGAATTTATCATAAATAAGCGAGGCAGTGAGTTCTGTGCAGTTTGACGAACTGTTATTAGCTTGTCTTCTGTTTATCTATGCATCATTATAAACTATACAGCACTTGTATGATGAATATCGTGCATGTATCCTCATGTCTGCTTTACTGATTTGCTTCCACTCACACATCTTCTCAAACACACAACTTTTGACATCAGCGCTGCCCTTAAACGTCCTGCATCAAGTCTGAAAACCAGGAAAAAATGTCCCCAAGCCACTGAATGTGCCGTACATATTCCTACTCAAATGTTTTCCCCCATTTTAATCATTCTGATTCTGCTTTTCTCTAGCAGGTGACAAGAAGAACATGGAAGGCGACATGAGGAAGAGGAGCGGCGTCATATTCACCGAGTAGAGCAGCGTGACACTGAGGTACTGGATGATGCTGTAGAGCGCCATGAACTTGAACACGCAGAACGACGTTATGAGGGCGGCTCGGCCCTCCCTTCAGAAAGAAGACAAATGGAGTTAAAGCTCAGTGTTTCCTGCTAATAAATCCTAGAGGTTCAGGTATTGACAGTGAGCTGACTGTAGTTTAGAGCCCTGCTGACTGCTGTGGAGATTAAATCCATCAAAGGACAGAAAGCTGTGAAACAACTTCCCTGTCTTGATTTCCTCTACCTGATGAGGTTGGGGACGCAGGAGATGTTCGAGGTGGACGAGGTGAAGGGTGAAGCCACCGAGGCCTCCAGCTCAGACAGAGAAATCCCGCTGTGAGCTCTCTTCAGGGCCTGAGAGAGGAAACGAGGACTTAATTAAAACAGCTCGCTTTGCTTTTACAGCGTTCCTCCAACTCAGAGGAGGAATGTTCTGTCTGAAAGTTCTTCAGCTCTGCTTCAGTCAGTATGTTGTTTGTTTGATGCTTCAATTCAGGACAAAATTGTACTTTTCAAACTTGCAAAAAACACACAGACGTAAATAAAATCAGGATTAAAAAGCACAAACAGCATATTTCAACTCTACCTGCAGGTCAGCGCATCCATTCATCTGAATGACGCTTAAAGTCCATCTCTACTCACTGATGAAACATCTGAACCCTGTGAGGTGTCACTACATCGAAAGAATGAACCAAGTATTTCTTAAAATCAAGATATTTCATCAAATTCACTTTATTCTACATGTAATATTTATGTATTTTATTTTATTTTATTGAATGGTTTTCTGAATGTTTTTTAGGAATATTTTATCTTGATAGTCGTACATGTTTTGGTTTTTTTGTTTGTTTTTTATATATTTTATTATGTATTATTTATTAACTATGCATTTAAGGATGCCACTTTTAATGTTGTTGTTCTTATATAAAAACAATAAAGACATTCTGATTCTGATTATTTTTTATAAAACGCCAAAAGCAAACCACTTGCATTAGACTCTTTAAAAAAAATACATTAAAAAAACAAGAAAATGGCCGTTCCTTGGTACCAACCAAAGACTATTTATGATAAACGTGCAGCACGTTTTAACACCGCTGAAGACAAACTTGGTGCTTTTACACAATCTACATATAAAATACTAAATAAATGATCATTTCATTAATTGCAGTAATAACTGATAGCTATTCACAGCTCATCCTCGCCTCCTCGTCCAGTCGGTTTTTCCTCCCTCCTAATCTACATCTCAATAAAAAATAAAACTTTTAAGCGCTTGTTTTGACAAAGCTGGCTGCTTCTGAAATGTGTGCAGTAGAGACACGGGAGTTAAAACGGGTCAGCTGGAGTGACGGAGGGGGTGATGGTGGGATTAGCTCAGCTAGAGGCGACTGACTGCGGCATCATCCATCAGCCTAAAACTCATTATTACCACTGAAACACGAGTATTTTTAGGTGTGGCTCCTACTTTCTTGATCACAGTGTTCAGTCAGATATTAGCCTGTAAACCGGTTCACAAACGTGGGATCAGATTGGTGAGACCCCCACTTCCTCGGACCGTTTCATTATCTGCTTATTGTCATGCTTACAGGGCAGCCATGAAAAACAGAGTACCTACTCTCACTGGGGCTTTTCCCTGTAAAAATAAAGCTAATGAATCTGTGCAATATTTCAGACAATGCTGCTAAGTACTTAAGGTGCAATATTTCCTATACACATATATATAATTATAGTTTACAGTACTTATTAACAAGTCACTGCCTCACAAGTTTCAGTTCTGTGTTTTTGTGCAATGACAACAAAGAAAGTCTAAGTCAGGAAAAGTCATTTTTATATCTGTTGGCCAACAATAAGCCAATTTCCACTGACAGAATCATTTTAATAGAAAGAAAGTGTGCTTGAGAAGCCATCAAAGACAGGCAAATAAAGAGAACAATAACCCATCACAATCTAGCCCATACTTACTCCACAGTCATTCGCACCGTCGCCACACATCCCGACGGTGTAGCTGGAGGATAAACAGAACGGATCAGAGCTGTGTTTACACATCAGAGACTCTATAAATGATCAGAACTGAAGCCACAAAACAAACAGCTCTCACTCCATGCCCTGCAGGACCTCCACCAGCTGAGTCTTCTGGTCCGGAGCCATTCGAGCAAACACAGTGGCTTTCAGAGCGAGCTGCAGCGCCCCCATGTGGAGAGACAGAGAAGTACAACAACAGTAAACACCGAGCCGGGAGTCCAGCAACTACATTTATCTGTCTGTAAATTAGCCTCTGGTTACGTGGATGTGTCCAAACATGAGCCTGTACCTTCTGGACCAGCTGAGGAAAGTGCTCCGTGATCACAGCGAAGGCTCTTCCACTCACAGCGAAGTGATAACCTTGTTGAGAAATTCGATCTTCAAACATTCCTTCCTCCAGGTTGATCTCCACGGTCTGAGGATGAGAGCAGAACATTGACAAACACCACCAACCCTGGCTGATGTAGACATCTTCTTGCTCTTATCTGATTGACTCCTGCAGTCACTGATGAATGTCTACGTAAAGCTCCGTCCGTTTCATGAACCTCCTCTCGTCTGGAGTCGGGTCGCGGTGGCATCGGCCTAAGCGGGGAATTCCTGCCATACAAGATATGTGATCCCACCGGTTCCTACGTGTTATATAGCTGCTAAAACCTCCATCTGAAGGCTTCCTGAACAGAGAGCAGTGACTCTACACCGAGCTCCATCTGGACATCCAGACTCCTCACCTCTACCCCTGAGGCCAAGTCCAGACAAACTAGGGAGGAGGCATCTGAGTCAGTAACCAGAGCTTCTGACCACAGGTAGAGGCTGAAGAATGCTCGACCAACAGCTCGCTCTTCGTCTAAACAGCCCATTACAACACCTGCGTTACTGCTGATGCTGCACCAATGTGCCCGTCCATCTCGTGCTACGCTATCGCTTCAAACTGTTCTTCTGTTTTATGTGAACTTGAGGCACAAATAATTGCAAAGAGACGCCTGAACATGCAGGTCTCAGAGTAATTCAATTCATCTTCACCAGCTTCAACCAGTCACAGCCCTGGTACTCGTAGTTCAGATTATACGCTGTGTCTAGACTTTCCCAAACCAACATTTTTTGGTCCGTTTTATCCATCCTTACCTGGTTGTCTTTGGCACTCTGAGCAGGCTCCTCGGTGTAATGCCACGTGATGCTGGCAGGGTGGAAGTCTTTGGGAGGCTGAGCGTCCGCGATGATGACCTTCTCGTGCGGACGAACCATCCCACAGTCCCGAGCCACCGATATTGCCGTCAGCATGTTGTCGCCTGACGGACGACGGGAAGGACAACACATAAAGTCACGATTTCACTCAGCGGCAGGAGAACGAACTCGGTGAGCAGCGTTACCTGTGACCATCAGGGTGCGGATGTCGGCCTTCCGTAAGTCACACAGAACGCCTGCGGTCTCCTCTTTGATTTTGTTCTGCATGATGATCAGGCCGAGGAACTCCATGTTGGTCTCCAGCACGTCCCTGAAAGACACAAATCACACACGTTTAGGAGAATCAGTGAACGGGTTAAATAATCATGAGCGTAACTTTAATATTATCAGAGATCATAACTCTGTGATGTTCGCTGCGTCACTTAAACTGCGTCGTCTGCTTTAAGTGCTACGAGTTTTACAGCAAACTTCCAGAAGCGTGTTGCTTTTGTTGGAGCTGTCCGGTGAGCCTGTGAATCAGGCCAGATGTCCGACTGATATCAATACCGCGGACTTCAGCTCATCACATCTTCCTGCTGCACTGTGACACGTTGAAGGTTCAGTGTTTCTCCCTGCCTGTTATTTTGGAAGCACAGCGGTGAGACTAAAAACTTGTGGGAAAACTTTTTAGATAACAAGAACATTTTCTGGTCTGCTGTGAACATTTGGACCTTACGTCATCTGAGCCGTTAGTCCAGTTACCCACGCCAACAAGTCTAGCACACGTAAGAACAGGGAGCGTGAGGAACATGAGCAGAAGCTGGTTTTGAACAAGGCTGCAGTGTTTTAGTGGGAGCAGCTGCGTGAACTGTGACGGGGTTATCCGTGGACCTACCTGCTGAGGTTCTGGACTTTGTGCCAGGAGAGTTTGGACTCCAGCTGCCGGTGTGCCAGGGCGATGACCCTGAAGCCCTGCCGGGTGTAGGTCTCCAGAGTTTCTGTAAAACTCTGCGGGACTGAAGGGAGGACAGAACAGGAGGAAATAAAGGGGTTGTAGTCAAAGATTCCTACTGTCAGTTCATTAATAAATTCTCATTGAGATGGTAATTAAACCTCTGAAGCCCTGGCATTATTATTATTTATTTATTTATTTATTAAAATATATTTTTATTTTCTTAATATATATAATAGAAAGAATTTTTTATTATTCCTTATTATAATGTTGCTTTAAAAGCCAAGGAAATATGTGCATATTTGCGACATTATTAAAAAAAAATAAATGAATAAAATAAATAATGAAAATAAAACTGGAAAAAAAACAATAAAAATGAATTAAAAATAAAGAAAAAAAGAAAGAATGATTTAAAAATTAAAAATAACTAAATAAAAATAAATAAATAATTTATAAATAATAAATTATCATTTTTATTATTTTATTTATTTCTCTTTATATTTCTACTTTTATTAGCCTTTTCTTTTACGGATTCATTTTTGATTAATATTGCTTTATATTGCCACATTATTTATTTTTTCTTTTATTCATTCATCTTTTTATTTCCATTTTTACTTTATTATTCTTTCATTGATTTATTTTTGTAATTTGGCACTCTCACTACTCCATAAATAGCAAAGAGAAATAAAAAATGCATATCAAACAAGAGCTCGGGTCTTAAGAGGTTAAAGGATGTGAAAAAAAAACCTCCATCCCAAACCTTCAGAGACAGAGGGTCTGACCTGTGTGCTGCTTGCAGAGACCGGCCACGACCTCCGGCGCCCCCTTCAGAAACGCCTCCATGTGCTTCTCCCCCAGCCTCCGGACCACCACGCTCATCCTCTGCAGATCCGACGAGAAGGGGAACTGACGGACGATACCGATCTCGCACGACTGAGGAGCACAAGATACGTGTTTCAGCATCTTTAAATCCACAGAACAGCTTGGCTGTGGTTTCCCATGTTCCCGGTCTTTACCACACAGATTAGAGTTGCATGATTGGGGGGAGAATATCTCGTTTAGGTTTTTCCTAACAGACAATGTAATTGTGATTGGATTTGTGGTTTAATTTAAGTCAAGCTTCACTTTAATACTGACTGTGTAATGGATTTAAAGTGTGATGAAGGACTCGCAAACATGAGATACGAGTAAATGTGCAACCGTCAGACAAGCAGAACGGCACGAAGAGTGAAATAACTGACACGACTCTTTAAACTGCAGCCATTAAATAATAATACTGGGTTTGTGTCGGTCAAACCACAGAATGCATGAATGAATGAAGCACTTAGAATCTATTGATCGATGGACACACGTAAACAACCTCTGTTCCAATCAATAAAACTAAATTACATGATTATACCCAATATTTAAGAGCAACATCTCATGTCCCCTAAACTGCCCTCTTTGTGATTTGACAGTTGCTTTGTTTTAAATTTTGATTTTAAATCAGCCTCAGAACAAACCTGTACAGCGTGCTATTGATCTGCTCATTTAACCCACATTTAAGTGATTCAGCGCACAGTATTTCACAAAATGCTAAAAAAAAGATAACTTACTGGTAACTCAGAAAGCTCCTGGAGAAAAAGGATTGAATGATATTTTAGAACTGTCAGGATTTACACACACATATATATATATACAGTGGCTTGCAAAAGTATTCACCCCCCTTGGCTTTTTTCTTATTTTGTTACATTACACCTGTAATTTAAATGTTTTTTTTAATCTGAGTTTTATGTCATGGATCTGCACAAAACAATCTAAGTTGGCAAAGCGCAATGAGAAAATAATATATAAAAATAGAATTTTAAGAAATAAAAAACTGAAAATTGGCATGTGCATATGTATTCACCCCCTTTGCTATGAAGCCCCTAAAAGGTTCTGGTGCAACCAATTACCTTCAGAAGTCACATAATTAGTGAAATGAAGT